GGTATGGGGAGCAAACTCTGGGAGGGTGTTTGGGTGCAGGAGGGGGCTCTGGGCTGGGGCAGAGTTGGGGTGTATGAGGGGGTGCTGGCTCTGGGAGCGGGGTCAGGGCTGGGGCAGAGGTACAGGAGGGGTTATGGGGTCAAGGCTGGGGCAGCAAGGTCAGGGTGCAGGAGGAAGTAAGGGGTGCTGGCTCCGGGAGGGGGCTCAGGGCTGGGGTGTGGCCTCCCACCAGGCAGCACTTACCTCAGGCAGCTCCCGGTGGGCAGCGCAACAAGGCTAAGGCAGGCTCCCTGCCTGCCTCGGCCTCACACTGCTCCCGGAAGGGGCCAACACGCCCCTGCGGCAGGGAGAGATGGGGACACGTGGCTCTGCGCACTACCCCTGTCTGCAGGCACCGCCCCCAAAGCTCCCATTGGCCACAGTTCCAGATTCCTGGCCAATGGGTGCTGCGGGGTTGGTACTTGCACACAGGAGCAACGCATGGAGACCCTTGCCATGGGGAGTGCTGACTGCTTCCGGGAGCGGCGTAGGGCCATGGCAGGCAGGGAGCCTGCCTTGGCGGCAGTCCCGCTGCATTGCCGTGGCCGGACATCACAATCAACCGGGAGACTCCCCAAGATCGACCAGTTGATCGCGATTGATGGGTTGGTGACCACTGCTCTAGAGGGAACAAACTACTTCCGCTCATTTCTCTTTGCTGTTGGCGGCAAAGAGGCAGGGGTCTGCCAGAGAGTTTTAGTGGTGTCACTAATTGTTTTAATAAGTGGCAGAGCACCACAGGAGGGGCCCAAAGGGGCCAAGATGTGGACCATAGGGTCCGATGCTGCATCCACCTCCTCAGCCTGGATTGCCAATGTTCTGTGCCAGCCTCCTGAGTTGTTGTTGGAGCACTCTTCTATCCTCCAGGGAAGGGGCCTGCCAATCACCTTATCGGGCGAAGAAGAGGACGAGGTCCTGGCTACAAGCGGGTCCTGTTCCCTGCCCTTGGCACCGAGGGGATCTCAGGGCACTTGCTGTTCTGGCGCGGCCCCTGGTGCCAGAGCCGGCACAGTCAGTGCCGGTGCTGTCAATGTGGACACTGGTATCGGCGTAGGTGTCACCGAGTGCTTCGGTGCCGGGTGCGGTAATACCCTGGTCACGCTGGGATAGTGGAGCAACAAAGGTAGCCGACGCCATGGAAGCTGACCTCGAGTAGAACCATAGGTTCTGGTGGAAAGCCCAAGGGGTCTGAAAAGGCCACTGAGCAGGGGACTGCCACTGATGGCCACGGTGCTGGCTGAAGGTGTCTCCGCCTGTCCGAACTGGAGCTCCTGCTCCTCCTGGATCTGGAAGGACTCCGCTTCAATTCCGAGGACTCTCTATAGGAGGACCAGGGAGGAGCAGTGCCACTTGATTCTGGAGAGCGTCATCCAGGGCTAGGGGACCAGCGAGGCTCCACCATGTGCGTGCTTATCGATGGCACTGGAGACTGGGGTCGAGGGGATGGCAACAGGCGCAGAATCATTGTGGGTTTGCCCCTGGACTGCACCGGGGTCTCATGTCCTGTCCTGTCTTGGACAGGGGGCAGCACCGTGAAGGCGATAAGGTCTCTCGCCATCTCGAATGCCTCCAGAATGGATGGCATCCATAGGTCATGGCCCTCACTGACCGGTGAAAGATGGGGGCCTGGACTCGACCAGTCCCATGTAGGGGCAGGAGTCAACGTGACCCCTGAAGCCAAGATCGAAGTCGCGCGGCCCAACGTGGGTCTCACGGCGGTGGGCTCCTTCTGCGCCCCTCTGGGCATAGAGGAGCAACCCCTTTCAGGTCTCTTTCTTATGAGGTACTGGTGAATGTGAGCAGTGCCGGCCCTGTCCTGACGGTGCCGAGGGTCTCTACTCAAGTCTTCCTTGACGCCGATTCGTGCGCCGGCGGTGCCAGTGCACTCCGCACCGATGATGAGATGCTTGGGGTTGGCTCCATCAACTCAGGGTCCAATTGCAGATGGAGAGCTGCCTCCATGAGTATTAACTTGAGACGCTGATCTCTCCCCTTCTGTGTCCTTGGACAGAAACTTCTGCAAATTTTGCATCATTCTTTTTGATGAGCTTACCCCAAATACTTTAAAGAAGAAGAATGGGGGTCACTCTTGGGCATAAGCTGGCCAGAAGCTTCGCAGGGTTTAAAACCCAGAGATTGAGGCATGCCCCGTTACTGGGAAGAAAGTGGAGGGAAACCCCCAAATGAAACTTGTATGTAAAACTACTAACTACTATGTAAACTAACTATATAAAAGAATGAAACTTCAACTGCTATAGACACGCTTGCCAAAGCAAGAGCGAGCATTCTGGCTAACCATCACAGGTGGTAAGAAGGAACTGAGGAGGTGGTGGGTCAGCAGGGCCCTATATCCAGCACCCTACAGGTGCGACCCCAGAAGGTGCCTGAGCCAACCCGACATACTGCTAGGGGGAAAACACAGCACGCGCACACCTAATTGGAATTGACATGAACAAGCACTCGAAGAACACCTGCGTTTTACAGATAAGATAACCAAGATTCAGAGATGTTAAGCAACCTGCTTAAAGTCAGATAAAAAGATGGAGGCAAAGCTCAGAATACAAGAGTCCAATAACGAGCGCAGTATCATGGTACATCTACAATGCATGCTTGCAGTGGGTTGTGTTGCATGCCCAATGTCTCCTACACACCCCCCCCCCCCCAATCCACACTCAAATCCACGTAAGAGGTGAGCTGAACCTGAGCTGGTGTGCTCGGGTGGGTGTATGGGGAAGAGCACGTGTTTAGCTATGATATGCACCTTCCTCACCCACCCACTTTGTAACATGGAATCTCAGAAGTGGGCTTGGCTAATGTACGCCCACATGCACACGAGTCAGGACAGGGGCATACTGCTGTGTAGACATACCCTAAGGCAGTGGTTCTCAACCTATTTATCATTGCGGGCCACATCCAATATTACCTATATGGCCCTGAGAATGTCACATGGACGCAGCTGTATCCTGACTGGGCTGCAAGCAGCCCATGGGCCACAGATTGAGAACCACTGCCCTAAGGTTATGTATACACTGCAATGTAAGCCCAGGGTTAATAGAACTCAAATTAGCAGACCATGGGTTTGTTAACCTGAGGCTTCAACATCTACACTCATTTCTCAATCTGCATCTCCAGCTTCTACACTGCATTATACAGGCCCAAGTCCAACCATCCATATCCCAGACGTCCTAGTGCCCTCCCAAAATGTGGCCATTCTAGCCTTTTGTCTAGTACAGTGTCCACCAAATTTTACTGTTTAGAGGACAAAAGAAACTTGGTTCGTAGGATTGGTATGGTGAGTCCCGTGCTTTTCTTGGCGGGGGGCTAGGACACCACCCCTTGCCCTGGTCTTCAGGCACCAAGGGCCCCGCTAGTGGCCCGGGAAGGTAGTAGAGGAGGGAAGCGGGGAAGGGGTTTAGGCTTGCTCCTCACTCTGAGCCCCAGCTCCTCTCAACCCCTACGGGTTTCTTACCCTCTTCCCCCTTGGGTAGGGTTATCCTTGGTCCTTGACTGTGTGGGAGGTAGTCTCCCTACCCTGCTGGGGCAGGGTCTCCCTTCCTCCAGTTCTCTGGTCTTTCAAATCTCAGCAACACACCTACAAACTCCAGTCCTCTCTCCTTCTTTGTACCACCCTGACTGCCTGAAGCAGGGGGGTTTTATTAGGTTCCTGACAGGGCCTTAATTGACTACAGGTGCTCCAATTAATCTGTAGTAACCTTTCCTAGTCTATAGGGAACCACACCTTAATTAGCCTAGGGCTTGTATATCTCCCCTCGACCACCCTCCCATGCTCCCTGGCCCTGCTGTATCACAATACTAATTTTTGGAAAATGCATTTATATGTAATAAAACAGGGTGACATTAACTCTAATTTCTCTACTTTTTAAAATTATAATAGAATGCGCTTTTAAGGCAATCTAGATGTGTCTCAAAAAACAACAATCAGAAAAATCCTATAAATGTAAATCTGGATTTTCTTACATCTGAGACAACAAGAAAAAATGATGAAAGCTACAGAAAGCAGTCTTATTGAAGTCACTGACGCAGCACCTTTTTAGTTGCAGTATTAATTTTTATAATTGGCTTTCACTTAAAACACAAAGCTCAAAGTAATTTATTAATTAAAATAATGAGTGATGTTTCTGTTCTTTCACTACAACCAAATACTATACTAGAACCACAATGGGGAATTTACAACAGGAATTCAATGCACAACAGTTTTCTTCAGTGAACTGCATCAAAACTAACAAGTTAAAAAAAAAAAATCTAGTGAAGTAAATTTGCTAGTACAGTGAACTTGAGTAAGATCAGAGTCCTTACTTCAACCCACATCAAGTTTTCTAATAGCTACAACAGTTTCAAAATGCTCTTTCAATTGTTTATAGACACTCAAATATTTTTTTTTTAAGAAAAAAACTGTCAATATATTTACGTTTAATTCCTGGAGAGAGACATGATCTAACTTAAATATATGTAATGTATGAAAATCTAATAAGGAATCATACACACTTATTTAGATAGCTTTTCTGAAACCTCCTCATTACCCCTTACTGAGCACAAAAGTAACTATTCTGAACATATTTTGAGGACCTAATTGCTTCAGTGGTGCTGCAAAACTTCACACTGCAATGGTGCAGAGATGTAAGTAATGAAATCATAGCAATCACTGCAAGATATTTTAGTCATTCACATAGTGGGGTACAAGAGTGCTGTGCAGAAAAGGATATGACTTAATGACTTCAAGAAAAGACCATCAGTATATGAGAGAGTAAGCATTTGTTAGAATTACACTAATGTGGAACATTCAGATTGTGGCTTAAATGCATATTTTAAAACAGATTAACGTGAACTTCACTTTTGTAATGCTAGTAGTTCCACAAAACAGATTACAGTGCTTAATGAAGGTTAGATGTGAGTTTCATTAACCTCCGACTTTGAATAGCAATATATAGTTGCATACTTACCACTGATGTTACTTAAAATCATATTTCCAGAGTCTCTCACTTCATCAAATTTTGCAAATATTGCTTGTAACCTGGAAATAAGGGCAAAGATCAATTTTAACATCTGTGAATAAGTAGGGATATTTCCCCAACCCCCAAAATGAAAAATAAAAACTAAACTCCAACTCAGTTCTAGCTGTGTTTTCTTCATGAGCAGATTTATAGACGAATGGTTGAAACTCAAGCTGTTTATTATTCCAGCCATTAGAAATCTATGGAAACAATGTCTGAACGACTTTTCCTCTTGAATAAATTCCATATATTCTAACAAAAACAAAATTCACTTAGCAATTAATAAAATTGTATATTACAATTAACATGATTTAAAAAAACAGAAGTCTATTACTACTTACATTTATATTAATGGCATACACTATGCTTTATGTGAACATACCACCATATTTATGTAAAGCTCTAAAAAGTAAAGTAGTGGGTATATTGTAAAAAAATTAAGGATAAGATTGAATTTGTTTGGCGGCAATTACCAGATTTGTCAAAATCTCTGTTTTATTTTAATAAAGCTACTGTTCTTAAGAGTAGTTTTGCTTTCAAGTAGCAGGAAAAAAGTAGTTATATTTCACTTTCAAAACATACTAAACCTTTTTCTCTTATTAAAGTAAAAGGTAACAATATTTTATGTATGATTACTAAAACAAACAGAAATATGCTGAGTACTCTAAGTGCATGTAAATAGACAGTAAAAGAAACTACAGTAAAAGCTGTGTTATCTGACACTTTACCAACCGGAAACTTCTATACACCGGCATTTCTGATCTTCATTGAAAGCCCAGTTTATAATCCGGTTGGCGTGGGGCCGGTAGGCTCCCTATCCGGCTCTGCGTAGTTCCCCAGAAGCGGCAACATGTCCCTACTGCTCCTAGGTGGAGGAACGGCCCCGAGGGGTTGAGAGTGTGGGAGGGGATGCGGGGCGTACACTCTGGGAGGGAGTTTGGGTGCAGGAGGGGGCTCAGGACAGGGGGTTGGTGCGCAGGAGAGGTTTCAGGGTGCCGTATCCGGGTGGTGCTCACCTTGGACAGCTCCCTGCAAGCAGCAACATGTCCCTACTATTCCTAGACGGAGGTGCACTGCTCCAGTCCTGAGCACTGGCTCCGCAGCTCCCATTGGCTAGGAACCAAGACCAATGGGAGCTGTGGGGGCAGCACCTGTGGGTGGAGGCAGCAAGCAGAGCTGCCTAGCCACACCTCCAAATAGGAGCAGCAGGGACATGTCGCCGCTTGCAGGGACCTGCCCGAGGTGAGCGCCACCCAGATCTGGTACCCCACACCCCCTCCCACGCCCCAACCGCCTGCCCCGAGCCCCCTCCCACACCCAAATTCCCTCCCTATTAATTAACCGGAATTTTTGACTTAGGACCCCCCCATTGCCCCAACATGCCAGATAACAAAGCTTTTACTGTATTCAGTTAATATCGTCCATATTCCTCATTTATCCCTGAGTGCTATGAGGTAAGATGTACTTGCATCTATGTATTACTGAAACAGACAAACCTGAAAGCAATGGATGGCAACTGCAGTTGAATATAAAATAATTAAAATAATATTTACATTTTCCGGGCTTGGAATATATCCGTATAATATGTCAACCTTTTACAAAAAGAATAGAGCATAGAATAATTAGGCTACATCTACACTAGTGACTGTACACTTGTCCATACACCTGGTTGTGCCATAATCCCCTTAATGTCAAATCTCAACCCCAGGAGCATGTGAGTAGAAGGGAGTAAGGTGAATAGAGGGCAGTAAGCTAGTACACCTGATGGGTAAGTACATGCCTCAGCTGTGGCAGTCCTGTACCTGTGCCAGTGTGGGAGAAAGAGGCATGTAGCAGATCCCAAGTTTCAACAGTCCTCCACCCACATTCACACAATGCAGGGAACCCTTTCCTGCCTGGCCCCTTACCCAATCTATAAAAGTCCCTGTCTGCCCATTGTCACCAGCAGTAGTGAACTGCACTGACCACTTCAGAAAGGTCTTTTACTCTTTAGCTCACTACAGATGAACATGCATCCTGTTCCGAGACTAGTCGCCTGGTCCTTCACCCACACCCAGGTCCTGAACTGTGTATGGCAGGAGTACATTGCCCTCCACAACTTCATCCAGAGCAGCAGGAACATTTATCTGTACTGGGTAAATTTCATGGTAGGCACCTACCGTATTCCACCTACTGACAAAAACACATGAAGCACCTGAGGCTTCTATACTGGAGGACAAAAGACTCAGTCACTCCAAGAGAGATCCTCATATGTGCCCATTCTATAATGTGCTGAACCAGGTGCTCTCAAGGGCTCCCAGTACAGAGACAGAAGTGGCTCACAATCCCTTCCTTAATCCTGCTGGTTTTACTGTCTGAAAGGAAGCCGGTAAGGGCTAGGGTGAGGAAGCAGAAGGGTCCAAGGAAGAAGCTCCAGAAAAAGAGCATGTCATTCTATACCTCTACTCGAAGGAGCCAGTAGAGCAAGCCCCTCCCAACACCTGGACAAACCTCAGGAGGACCCCGAGCTGCAGCAGGAGCCAGAACCCAAAGCTGGTAAATTACAATGGAGTGCCTCCCTCTCACCAATATCTCCTCTTGCTACAATGCCACACTCCTGATTTTAAGCCCAGCCCTCACTCCACTCAACCCTTAATGGTCTCTGAGTAAGACAATGCTATATATCAATAAAATTAAGTTCCCACTATTACACATTTGGCAAAAGCTATACAATATATGGAACAATCATTTCATTTGTATCTGTACATTTCCTGGCCAGTACATAGGCAACAAAAATTTGGGGGGCCATGCATGCCAAGGGAAGGGAGGAAGTGGGTTTAGAAAAGTCCTTGTTGGGTATAGCATAGTTGTAGAAAATGTATAGTTGGTTGTAGAAATTAACAGCTCTCTCTTCTTCATTGGAAGACTACACAGTGTATGTGCTCCTCCCCTCTCTCACTGGTCTTAATGTCTCCTTACAAAAGGGAGCTGCACGGAAGTGGAAGGTGTGGTTGAGAGGGAGGTTCAGGAAGGGAAAGGAAACCCTTCGGATGTCCAAAGAACATCACAGCCGTCCTCTCTTCCTTGGAAGATTATAAAAATTTTTACCTTCCTTGTCCTTGCTGTCTGACCTCCCCCCACACTGAGCCATGCTGCACAAACTAGGAGAAACAGGGGTGGGGAAAAGATCTAGTCCATCGGTTGCATAAATACAAGTGCAGTGTTGCTTTGCTGCGGAGAGGTGTGGGGCTCATAGTTCTGACCTGAAACTTCAGGGAATGAAATAAAGCTGTGCTGGGTCTTATTCTTTCCACTGCTGTTAGCTGGACACAAGGGCCGGAGACCACAGCGATGCCAGCGGGCTGGGGGGGGGAGGGGGGTCCAGCGGTGTTCGTGGTTCACTTTTCCATTCCTATGGAAACTCTGTATGCTATCTTAGATTATAGTCAACTTCCAGTTGAATTGCCTCCCAGTCCCATAAGCATATTTCAGCAAGTTTCTGGTGTACCAGTGAGACATTTTGGGGATCAGTGAAACCAGTAAGGGGTTCTGTCACTTATAGCCCTATAATCTAGGATGACTTAATGCTACACTACTATGACTCAAAGCCCTGACACCAGTAACAAACCTACAAGCATAAAGGTCTGACCCTGGCTTTCACCAGCCCAGTTACGCCTTGCAGGATGACCTCAACAGCCCTTCCAGTCTGAGTCTTCCCAAACCCGTCTACCTCAAGTTCTTAACTACCAACACTCTGACTTTTCCGCTCTGGTTCGTCATCCCTGAAGGAGTGAAACCTGCCCCCAGTTATCAGTTCACTTTGGCACATATAATCCATACTGTTTGCACAACAAAGGGCTACTTGGGAGTAAAAATAAACCAAAGTTTTATTTAACAGAAAAATTGTATTCAAAGATGAAATAGTAATGAAAAACAAACGCATACAAGTTACACAGAAAACCAAAACAGATGTAACATCAGGGTTTACACTTCGATATTCGCTAAATTCCCTTTTTTAATATAAGTTATCTATTGCCTCTGAACAGTTTCCCAATGGACCCCTCTCATAAAAGGGATACAGTGTTTCACAGACAGCACCCTGTGTAAATGTTGGCCCTCTCTTTCTCTCTATGTTCTTCACTTCAAACCTCTTCTCTTTCAAGGGTCTGCAGTTTTTTTCCCCTTTCTCTCAGACTATAGCGATTCAGCATGGAAGAAATTCCCTCCTCTCCTAGTTTTCCAAGACTAGTGGTTTCTTTTTAGTAACAAATTGTTTCAACGTTTTCCCAATAACTCTAACGGTACACCATTGTCTTTTCCTGACTGGACCATGGATGGGTACTTGAAAATAGTTTTGCATAAACAACGGGTTTGGGAAGAGCCCCTCCCTGCTGTAAGATGTACTTGGAAGATGGGGTTACTTATCTGTAACTGGAGGGTCTTTGAGATGTGTGGTCCCTATTTTTATTCCAAATGTGGGTGCACGTAGGCGCCATGTGCCAGACACGGAAGATTTTCATAGCAATGGTCACTGACCCATGCATACATCATTCATCGCCTCATGTCTCTGGTGAGGTTATATTAGGCTGTGCAGGTCAACACCTCTTCAGTCACCCATTTACCACCCAGCAGACAGGAACAGAGGGTGGGTATTGGAATACAAATTGGGACCCCACATCTTGAAGAACTTCCGTTACAGGTAAGTAATCTCCTCTTCTTCTTAGAGTAATGGTTCCTATATGTATTCCAAACATGGGCAAGGAGTACTCAGCATGGAGGTGGGTGCAAGGATGCAAGGAGGAGTGCAGCCTGTAGTATGGCACGGCCTATTGCAGTGTCTTCCACTGTCCCTTCGGCGATGGCATAATGCAGTGGTTTTCCACTTATTTACCATTGTGGACTGCATATGCAGCTCTCTATTGTGTTATGTGGTCAGCATCCACACAATATATATACTACCTGTATGGCCCTGAGGGTGTCACATGGGCCACAGCTATGTGCTGACTGGGCCGCAGGTTGAGAACTACTGATGTAATGGGTT